GTAAAGCTTCATCCTCACTCTAACATTATGAGGTTTTCTACAGATGGAGATGAGACAGTCAGCAAACAGGTGACTCATCATCCTTCCTCTTCATCATCCTATCTCTTCATCATCCTCCCTCTTCATCTTAGTCCGCTGGATTCTTTAGTTACACTGCCATGATGAGACAATGCATCTGTCAGTGAGGACTGTTGGAGAATAGTCAACTAAAAATGACAAATTGATTAATTTATTCAGTGTTTTACAGTGTGTCTCTCACAAACCAGCTCACACACACACACACACACACACACACACACACACACACACACACACACACACACACACACACACACACACACACACACACACACAAACACACAGTGATGGCACCATGTACCCACCATGGCCCTGACAGTCTCACCATCAGTTCAGTGTCTTCAACTTGATGATGTGTATCTACCAGCTGAGACCCAGGCATCACACCTGTTTCCTGTTTGTTCTGTAGTCACAGGTGATAAACAGCTGACTCTGTATTACATCATAATATTAACTCAACCTCAGTCTGACAGTAAAGAGCTAAACACTAAACAGAGGCTAATGGGTTATTATGATGAACCAACAGCCTCAGTCCTGACTGGTCTGTGTCAGCTGACTGAGCTCGTGGTAATTCATTGGTCCATTCTGGCACTCATGTTCAGCTCGTGGGTTAATTAAGAGTTTTTTCAGCTCTGTTCACCCCAGCAGAACATGTTTGTCTTTGTTTCCCTTCTTATCACTCTTTCTGTTGCAAACCATGTTTTCCTGTTTCTTGTTGTTGGGTGCTACTGCTCTGTGCAGGTGTCATTGATTGTTACCATGGTAACATTGGTCTTAGTTAGGCCTGAGTTATCCTAATGTTTTTGTCTTAATATGAGTCAGTCTTCATTTTTGTGAAACGGTCTGACTAACATTAGACTGATCTGTGAGCAGAATGAAGACTGGACCATGTCTGAGGTATCTCTGTGAAAACTGGTCCCAGACTATAGACTGGTCCTGGTTAGCCTGTGGATACTCCTCCTGCTGCAGTTTAGTGTCTGTCAGTGTTTTATCCTCAGGTCATTTTCTTAAATGTGCTCCTGCCATCACACAACTTACACCTGTGTTATTAGAGTTTATTCATATAAAAAAAAATACACATGTTATCAGCTGTTTGTCGCCTGCAGCTTCACGACACTAGATTAATGATGTTCTGAAATGCATGCATGTAGGTTTGCATATACACAGCAGGAACATGTCCTACCAATATTTGAGTCTTACATTATTAGATTGTGGAGCCAGTTTTAAATGTGAAATCAAGGGGGAGAAGGGGAACTGCAGCACTGTTATAGAATACTGAATATAAACATGTTGATGTTGGATGAAAAAATGAAAAATATTGTTTGATTTTTTTCTCTTTTCTGTTAACAAGTAATTTATTTTGTTTATTTTCTTTCAGTCTTTGGTCTGTTTCTGTATTTAGTTGTTATTTACATGTTAATACAGATCATATGTTAATAAACCATTCAGCTACCAGCATTATGAAGTCCTCTTTGTTTTGGAAGGGTTGCAGGGTGTTGAGGTCAAACCTACACCCTGGCTGAAATGTGTGAAGTACTGGACACATGTAGAGGAGCAGACTCAGGTACACAGAGAAAACACAACACTGAACCTTCAGCACCAATGTTCACTGCTGCTGCTGCTTCAGACTCTGATTATAACTACATCTAACACATGGTACATATGGATGAAACAATGACTGTCATTGGGTTTATCTGTAGCTCTGATCAGCACAGGTGTAAGTCAGCAGGTCTGATCTCCACACTGCAGCTCATCAGCAACAGTGAGGGTCAGGATTAATGTCTGAATTTATAATGAGTCCTGTGTCACAGAGAAAACAGGTCAGCTGTATGTTTATGTGTGTGTGTGCGGGGGAGTTGAAAAGATCTGTGTGTCATTTTATTTGTCATGGAAATACAGAGTGGGCGGAGGATGAGAGGGAACAGTGATAACACAAAGAAGAGGAGCAGGTGTGTGTGTGTGTGTGCGTGTGTGTGTGTGTGTGTGTGTGTGTGTGTGTGTATGTGTGTGTGTGCGCGCGCATAAGATGTGCTCTGTTTGTCAATGGGACTAAACTATAATCACATTGCACCATAACAACAACAGCTTTCTCTGCTTTTGTCACTGTTCCTCCACAGTTTATTTGATTTCTATATAAAACTGATATATTTTTATGTAACAATCAGGACAGGGAACAGTTGAGTAATGCTGACATCATGATGATGAAAGGGGAGTTTGATAAACAGTCTATGTGTAGTTCTGCAGGAATCTCAAACAAATCCACACATCCTCCTCAGGTTTATGCAGGTTTGAGCTCCACTAACTCAACTGTGGACCATCTCTAACATTACACAGTATAAACTTCCATCTCTAACATTACACAGTATAAACTTCCATCTCTAACATTAAACATTATAAACATCCATCTCTAACATTACACAGTACTTAAACTTAGACATCTCTATGTCAGTACCTCAAACTAACCATGTTTGTCTACGTTCTGGGATTAAACACGCCTGACAAGTCAAATTCAGGACAAAAATGTCCCAGTAGAGTTCAGCTTCCTAGTTGAACTGGTGTGTTGGTACAGACTGAAGTTCCTGTGATAATCAGCATGTTTCACTGTCAGTATGAAATATTCCAGTAAATTTCTTGCCCAGTTTTAAACTCTGGTTTATGTTCAGGTAGTGGTCTTGAAGTCTAGTCAGGAAATGGTGTGATGGAGTTAAAGAGTCAGAAAGGTGACAGAGGAGGCAGTCAAAACTTTTGACTTAACAACACAGGATCACTGTTGGTTTGTTGTGTCAATTTCTTTTAATGATGTTCCCTGTTAACCAAGTGTTTATTCTTATAATGATGATGATTATGATTATGAAGGTTCCTAGACCCTGTCAAAGTAATTTCAGCTCTTCACCCACACTGACCTAAATCTGAACCAAACTGGAAACACAGACCAGGAAGTGGTTTTCCTTTGAAACACTGATTTGTTATGGTTTGGAAAGGCACTGACACATGATGTCATCAGATTATTCTATTGGTTCATAATCTATAATCTTTATTGTCAGTGTGTTTTATATTACTCAATACTTTTATTCTGTGTAAACAATCTTGAAAAACTCCATAAATGTTATAATAATAATAATAATAATACAATTTATTTATGGAGAGTTTTTAAAGATTGGTAGATTATTTAAATTATTAATATAATGTCATTGTTATTGTTATTATTAGTATCCTCATCCTGTGACTGAAGACTGAATCTTACAGGACTGAGTTCATCTCTCTTTCAGACAGCTCCCTCATGTGGTTATTTCCAGTAGCAGACAGAAGAGGGCTGACTGTCTGTGATTTACTGTGTGTGTGTGTGTGTGTGTGTGTGTCAGTACAACATAATGAGCAGGTTGTTGGTGTTGTGCTGAAAGTTGCCCAAATGTGACTTTTCTCTTTTTAAATCAATTAAAATGTAATGAAACAGTGAAATTGGGTTCACATTGAATCTCGGTGCTAATTCAGTACAACAAGTCCGTGTGTCTTCTTCCTCTGAGCCTCAGAGCTCCACTGTTTCCAGAAAATTTTCAAAACACATTAGTTAGACCCACACATCACAATGAACACACACACTGTAGTTTATTCTGACTCACACACACTGTCCTGCTGCCACAAATAGGCCTACTCACTACAGCACCAGATGTGGATTAATCCACTGCTGAAAATAGTCTCCAACAGATGCTCTATTTCTTCCTATCAGAGTAACATTTGTTAAAACTACAGTGAGCAGCTGTTTCAGTTAATACATGTTTTTAGGAACATATAGTTTATATACTGTGTTTTTTACCTATTTTTCTTTAGTAGGAACCAATGATCTGGAACCTACTGGCTCTCTCATATCCTCCATGTCTTGATGAGTGAAGGTGGAGCAGCTGTAGTGGAGCTGTGACACTAATGAATTTATGATGCGTTCATAGCAGCTTCTGTTGATTTCCCATCATGCAGCTGGTGTTCAAAGACTCTGGATCTCAGCCGTTTTACAGACTTTAAGGTGAGAGTGTAACGGCAGTGTCCACAGGTCAAAGGTCATTTAGCTGCTATAAAGAAGCTGGTTTATGTTTCCATGATCACACAGACTGATGTGATCTAAATGTTGTAAGATGTCTCCATACAGATGATGGTTGTCATGTTGATCTGAGTTCATGTGTTCCTGCAGTAACAGCTCAGTCTAGTCTGTTCATTCTGTTGTCAGACATGATGAGGAACACACATATAATATTACAACAGAGAGTTTCAGTCAGGCATGTGACAGGGCAGCTAAGACCGAGGCCCTGATTGTTGTCATTATCCACTTCCTGGTTTGAGCCGGGCGGGTAGTAGAAGAGCAGAGTGTGTTTACCAAAGTGTAGCAGTGTGCAACTCAGAGTGTGTGTGTGTTAGTGTGTGTGTCAGTCAGCGTCCACCTCACATGGAGTGTAATTAAACTGAGTGAGAAACCAAAGAAGAAGAAAGGAGGAGGCAAAGAATCCAGACTGAGTGAAGAAGAGACGAAAGGAAGAAGAGGAAGAGGATGAGGAGGTGAAACACTGAAGAACAAACGAGAGAGAGAGAGAAAAATACACACACACAGGAACAGTGATACTGCTGCTGACAGCTCTGAGCCGAGACGTAGAGAGGAATGCTAGAGGATTATCTTTCCCTAAGGACTCAACATCTTAATTCCCCCCCCCCCCCCCCCCCCCCCCCCCCCGCCCCCCCCCCCCCCCCCCCTCCCCCCACCCCCCCACGCCCCCCCCCCCCCCCCCCCCCCCGCCCCCCCCCCCCCCCCCCCCCCCCCCCACACACACACACACACACACACACACACACACACCTCATGTGTCTTGTAAAGGACCTTTGGCATGTGGATTATTGACTCTGCAGGGCAGCCATGTTTGAAGTCCTGGAGCAGTAGAGGTACAGTAATGACTCATTGTAGTTATAGTTGTAAGTCTAACACTGTTAATGCTGTGTTAGAGGTTAGTACCTTTTATTAACCTACTTTATTTAAACACTATAGTTCAGTTGTTACTAGACCTGCAGCACAATAACTTTGTCTTACTGGCCACTACTTAAAGCTGTTGTAAGTAGCTGTAGTTTGGTTGTAGCACAGTTTGCACACTCTTTGCAAAAGGTCATATTTCTCACCATGAGAAGTTCAGGACTTCAGTGAGGCAGCTGGGTCACAGAGTCTTGTCCAGTCCAGGATCTGAGTTGTTTTAAGGTGGAATCTGCAGTGTGTTGTTCCTGCTGGAAGCTGGGAGGACCTACAGGCTGCTGGTGCTCTACATGGAATTCCTCTAAACACCAGGAATTCCTCTGGAAATATTTGGAATACGTCCAGGACTGTTTGGAGTCCTCCTCTGGGACATGTTTGGACCACACAGGGGACACTCACCACTTCAGTCACAGTCTTTCTAAGTCTACAAGGACTACCCATAATTCCAGGAGGTATAGCTCATCCTGCCAAAATGTGACAGAGCATGAGACCTCAGTAAGTGAGCACATTGTCTGTCATGGATCTGGACCTGGGAACAGAATCTGATACGGGACGTGGGGCTGGACTGGAGCCCTGTGATGGAGGGTTACTGGATGTAAAAGGAGATGATGGAGAGCTCAGCTCTGAATCCTCCTCCTCCAATGCCTCCCTGCCCTCCTCCTCCACCCTCCCTTCCACCTCCTCCTCGCCCCCCCCAGTTTGTGTGGAGGAGGAGAAGGAGGTGCTGACTGGCTGTTCCAAGTCCTTCACCGGACTCAAGCTCTTCACCAGGAGGTAAGACAGAGTGAGAGTGAGTGAGTGAGTGAGTGAGTGAGTAAGTGGGTCGTTAACAGTGTAATATCTGACTCTGACCAGCAGGTGGGGCCTCCTGCCCTCATCACACAGGATGTGGACAGATGTGTAGTCACACTGAGGCAGCTAGAGTAACATTACACACACACACACACACACACACACACACACACACACACACACACACACACACACACACACTCTTCAGATTGACAGACATTAGAAAACAGAATCTGTTTTATTTCCTGTTGTACTGGTGAGTCACAGCACGATACGGATTATTTCTGTGTGTGTGTGTGTTTAACCTTGCCATTGGGTCACCAGTCATCATGTGATCAGGGGACACAATTCCCACGGCAACAGGGGCCATGGTTGACATGCCAACAGAAACAACGATGACAGTTGTGCCTCCAGCTCGGCTGCACACTCGTCAGTGTTGATGGGTGGGGATCATGGTGCAGCACCAGCAGATGTTGTGTAGAATGTGTGTGAGTGTGTGTGCTGCATTACATTGGTGAAACTCTGTGTGTGTGTGTCAGAGGAGGCTCATGGTCACTATTGATCAACTGATTCATTATCACAGGGCTGAAAGATTCTTATTCATGTGAAAGGACCCCACTATACATACATGTGTGGTGTGTGAATCTTAACAGGTGGTGTTGTCTCAAATGGAGGGTGGTGGTGTTTTAAATGGACAAGCATTCAAAGCATTCAAAAAAACTTCAACATAACAACATAAACACTTCATATGTTCACTATAAACATAAAAAACATGATATGATTTGCTTAAAGGTTGGACTGTAAGCTTCTGAGCACTGTCCACTGTGTGTCCATCATTTACATTCATAGCAACAGGAGCTAGCAAACATCAAGGTCTACTCTTTAATTGTGAGCTGTAGTTTTTCTTTCCACCTCTCAGTGTAAACACAGACTCAGAATCTGAAAACACTCTACATTTGTGTTGCTAGTTAGCTCACTACAGCAGACAGTGGCAGTTAGCTACAACTAGCTGATTATAGCTGTCACATCTTTTAGCTTGTTCAGAGAAGAATCATCAGCTAATAATGAGAGTTAAAGGTAAAAATTTTAAATTGTAATTTGGATTCAAAATCATCAGTCACTGTTAACCCCCAGTATGAACACAGTAAGTTCTTGTTTTAATGAATTATGATTATTGTTAATTAAAAAGGATTTGAAAAAAAAACTAAATGGAAAAAATAGAACAAAAAAAATAGAAATATAAAAGAACATTAGATAAAAATAACAAACCTGTGTGTTCATTATGTTGTAAATTAAAATAGTTAATGATCGTTAATTAACGCCTGTTGTTTCTGTAATTCACTCTTGGATTATAAACTGTCGTATGAAAGGATGTAACAACGTCACAGTCACTGTTTCTGTTTCCTCTTTCTCACAGTGTGTGTGTGTGTATATGTGTGTGTGTGTGTGTGAACATTTATCAGACAGTTTTGCACTCAGCTTGTCAAGGAAGTACACAAAGTTATTTTAGTCCTCTCAGGCTCACTCGCTTGCTCTCTCTCTCTGGGCCACACCCACTCTCACTCTCTCCTCCTCCCTCCACTCTGCTGATGTCTCTCACCCCTCCCTCTCCCTCTCTGCTCTTGGCGATCTCTGTTCTCCAGGGTTAGTGAGCTCGGAGACAGATAGAGAGAGGAGTGAAGCATGGATGGATAGTTCCCTCTCCTTTGTCAGGTTGGCTCATAATTTACTCTTTGTTTTATCTTAATATTTATTAGAATAGATAATATTACAAGCACTTTATTTAACAGACTTTAGCAAGAATTAATTTGTCACAGTGGTAGAAATAACTTGTGCTTGTTGCATAATGAAAACTAAAATCACCAGTTGAGTCTACAGCTCAGTAAAGTGAAGTCAGTCACTCTGAGCAGGCTGAGTCAGTGTAGTGGTGATAGCAGCTGATGCAGTGCTGTGTTCTTTCTAGTCGTCAGTCATCTCAGAGACAGAGGAGGTTATAACCAGCTAAACCTCTTGACTAATAAGACAAAGATCTGGATCCACATGGATCTGGCCAACAGCAGTACATTGACCCCTGTTAGGTCACAGCTGTAAGTAGTCGTGGAGGTCGACTCCACTGTGAGAGGGGCTCTGGTTCATAAGGCTGTGGAGTCTGTGGACTGTTTTAAACAAGGACACCTGTTCTTTATCAAGACATGTCTGAACACATTAGTGTTTGTTTTATTCATGTTTCATTTTATTTTTCTCAGCTGGTGGATCACCAGTAAAGTGTAATTCTATTGTTGTTTAAGAAGCATGTGGCTGATCTCAGTTGTCAGTACAGTTAACTCAAAACAAAAACCAAACTGTTCTTGGACACATTGGTAGATACCTCACTAACTAGATATAACATTTAAAGTGGCTTTAATCAATGTAGAGTCAATGTGAAGGCAGAACTGACAGATTCTGATCCAGAAGAAAAACTCATTTAAAATCCCACTGATGTTTGTAACTATGCAGATAATTAAAAATATCATCAGATCAAAGAGTTTCAGTCAGTCTATCTTTACATGTACAGATGAGGATGGTAGTTCAAAAAAAGATCTAAAAAAGATCTTTTTGCCTTTAATGGACACCATTTTCCATAAGCCTTCAACCTTCAGGGCTTAATCATCATGACTGATGATGAATGAGAGCAGGACAGAGTGGAAAGACAGAAGTCATAGCTGAAATCCACTGAACTCCACTGGTTCAGATACTGTCAGATACAATCAGACACAGTTAGAGTCAGACACAGTCAGATACAGACAGACACAGACACGCACAGTCAGATACAGTCAGACACAGTCAGATACAACCAGTCAGACACAGCCAGACACAGTCAGCCACAGCCACAGCCACGCACAGTCAGATACAGTCAGACAGACACAGTCAGATAAGTTCAGACACAGACAGACACAGTCAAATACAGTCAGACAGATATAGTCAGACAGTCAGATACATACAGACACAGTCAGATACAGTCAGTACAGCCAGATAGACAGACAAAGTCAGACACAGCCAGGCACAGTCAGATACAGTGAGGCACAGTCAGATACAATCAGACAGACACAGTCAGATACAGACAGACACAGCCAGACACAGTCAGATACAGTCAGACACAGTCAGCCACAGTCAGAAAGATAAGGTCAGACAGAGATAGTCAGACACAGTCAGACAGTCAGATACAATCAGACACAGTCACACAGTCAGACAGATATGGGCAGACGGAGACAGTCAGACAGTCAGATACAGTCAAATGCAGTCAAGCACAGTCAGACACAGACAGTCAGATACAGTCAGATACAGTCAGATACAGTCAGACACAGTCATGCACAGTCAGATACAGTCACACAGTCAGATACAGTCAGACAGACATAGTCAGACAGTCAGATATAGTCAGACACAGTCAGAGAGACACAATCAGACACAGTCAGATAGACACAGTCAGACAGACATAGTCAGGTGTGAACATTGAGGAGTTTTCAGCAGATAAAGAGAGATACACTGCATCCAGATTATAAAGATAGACATGACAGATTAATAATACAAGTGAAATCAAAGGAAACACTGATCTTATGTTCAGTGAAAGGATTTATTATTATTATTAATATTATTATTATTATGTTTGTTTGACTCTCACACATCCTGTTACTGCCTCTGCTGTGCTTTAGACAGAGGTGCCGGGATTAGGTTGAGCAATATTAGTGAAGTGTGTGTGTGTGTGTGCCTGTGTGCCTGTGTGTGTGTGTGTGTGTGTGTGTGTGTGTGTGTGTGCGGGTGGGTGTGTGTGTGTCATTAGGCTGAAATAATGCAGCTGTTTAGACTAAAAACATTTACGCTGATAAAAGAGAGAGAGGGAGGTAATAACTTGGCAGCTATTTAGAGTCAAACCACATCTCCACTTAGACATAGGGTCTGGTCAACACACACACACACACACACACACACACACACACACACACACACACACACACACAAAAACTATAATATAAAAATTGTTGTTTTCATGTAACATAAATCACTATCTCGCTAACACCAGACGTCATCAGTCCAAGTTAAATATAAACCCTCTGATGTTGTTGTAACGCTTCAGGTTTCCTCTCAGCTCAGCTGTTTGAGAGTCGACTGTGAATAGCCTGAAGCTCAACACTGTAGAGAAGGTGAAGGTTCTCTGGGTCAGGAACCCAACAGGTTCCTAAGGTCTTCAACCACCTGATTCTCTTCTACAAATCAGTTTATATTCAGGATTCTTAGAGATGGATGGAGTCTCTTCACTGTCAGTGCTGTCCTCCATCCAGGAGGTCTTCTGTGGTTTTTGTACGAGTCACAGGAAGGTGGTCCACGTGGTCCATGTGGGTGGCGTGTGTACAAAATGAAACTGGGGGTGTGAGTGTACATCCAAGCTGTGGTTAAAGTGAGGACAACATATCCCGTCTCATGCAGAGGAGACATACAGTCTGTGTGTGGACCTATGTAACAGCAGCTGTATCCAGAGGTGTCTCTATCTGACACAGATCTCCATGGAGGAGCTCTTGCATGAACGAGCTACTGGTCTGTCAGGGAACCAGCTGCTGGTCTGTCAGGAATCAGCTGGGACGGGAAGTCTGACAGGATCCATGACACTGTCGGTGCTCCGTGGTAAAGGTTTGGCTTTTATTCACTGTATGAAATTAAACGTGGTTGGACTTCCTGTAAGATAGTTGCTGATCCAGACTGGATCCATGTGACAGTTCACACACACAGAGTAGACCACAGAGACCAGATCCCTGGACCTGGTCAGAGCTGTGTTCCATGCTGCACAGAGAAAAGACCGAGGAGTCCAGATGTTTGTGGATGATGAAGAGATTATGTTGGAGGCTCTCTCTCCATGTATTATCAGATCTGATGTATGATGTATTATGATGAGCAGAGCCTGTTCTCTCCTGTTCAAACTGTTGCTCACTCTGACACTTAAAAACTCTCTC